GATGTCATCATTTGCTGTACAGGCACCCCTACCCTACCTTAGCTTAACCTGACTTTGAAAGTAACATATTTTAATACACAGGTTGTCTATGAAAATGATTACCCTACCACTCCTTATTAAAATGATTGAATTTCCCGTAACATTAATACCTAATAACATGATTGTATGTGCTTATAAACTCAGTAAATTTCTAAATAAGTAATTACAAAAATCACTTGAAAATAAAACAGTACTAAGGATTTTAATTTAATTCTATAATTAAATTTAAAGTTTTAGTTTCTGTTTTTGAAACATGTGTAGCGATGGAACCATATTTTTAAATTAGTAAATTTATAATTTTTAAGCTCTACAGAATTCTATTGAGCACTGTTTTTTTAAAAATAAAAATAATTAATGAGAACACTGGATTATAAAATATCTTACTGTTCTTTCTCATTATTTTATGTATATATATATATATATATATATATATATATATATATATATATATATATAAATCATTGTTAACCACCTTTTCGTTTTATTTTAAAAAACGTTGAAACAGAAATTTACAATTTGTGGATGTTCTAATGTAATAATGTATAATATATATATATATATATATATATATATATATATATATATATATATATATATATATATAATAAAATATTAAATATATAGGACGCAAGCAGAATTTGACATTGAGTTTTTGTCTTTATCAAGGCAAATGTAAGGATTTTATAATAGTGAGTTTTATAAAACAAAAGATACGGCGTTTATTCTTCCTTTGCAAAATATAGTGTTGGTAACTCAATTTTCGCACAAATGTGTTTTTATTTCCTGATATTCCTGGTGAGGAGGTGTTGTCCGAAGATTGCGATAATGGTAGAGGAAAAAAAACCTACAGGGAGTTTTAAAATTTCAGAAAGAAAGAAAACGAAGAAATCCTCTTAAAGTTTTTGGACTTCTTGACAACGCACTGAATTAATTGAAAATAAACGATTTTTCTCGTTTTGCTTTAAACCTGTTTTTTTTTTGTTTTTTTTTTTTTTTTTTTTGTAACTATCTGCCTTATTCGATAGTTGGTGTCGTTTTGTAGTTTTATTGGTATCAGCATTATTATGGTATCGCATCAATCGTCGCAACACACAACATTTAGTTGCCATTAAGTTTGGTATATATCCCTCGCGTTTATCATTGTATAAATATGTTTTGATGAATATACACACGTACATATAGACACGCGCACACACCAAACACAAATACGTACACACGCATAGATATGTGTATTTACATGAGTGAAGATGTGAAGTCAGAATCTCAGTTATTAAATAGACTTTTTATCGAAACATGAACTATAAGGACAGTGTATTAATGGTGATTTTCTAAGCGTATCTTGGATGTAGCACAATGCCAAAAGTATGGGGCACCCAGTGAGGATCAAACTCACTGCTCACTCGTAATTGATCTAGCGAGACAAGCTTGCTAACCATTACACCACGTCGAAGTGACCAAAGGACAGTGTATCAACGTAGGAATGCGAAAACTTCAAACTAGAAATGGAAAGATCAAACATAAACATTCTGAGGGCATTTGAACCTTGGTGGATAAATAATGGAGACTTCATAAGCGATGGTCACAGGCGGAGAGAAAAATGAAAGAACAGGACTTAATATTGGGTCAAGAAATGAAGAAATGTCTCTTAGGATACTGTCAATTGTTAGAGTTCTAGTTAAACTGAAAAGGAGTCATTCAGTATAGAATATTCATAAGCGTCTCAAAGACAGAAACCACCTCTCAAGAAAATATCGTCATTATGGCGACCTAAACGTTAAAGTAGGGAAGAACAAAGATCACACAACGAACCAACACCTGGTTCCAAGAACACTTGACATGCTGTGGATTTGGAAACCCAGGAGATAGAACGAAATAAACTACATGACAATCTATAAAAATTCAGAAAGTTTGTGCTACACTCCAAAACGTATCCAAGCGCCGACCGTAGGAGTGAGTGCCTACTTTTTAGTCAGGCTCAAATTATGGAAATTAAATAAATTCAAACTAACGCCTAAACAGAGTCCAGAAGGTCACACATTTCACACTATGTGTGTCTATGTATATTCATCAAAACATGTTTGTAAAATGATAGTGTAGAATATGTACCAAATTTAATGGCTACCAAATATTGTGTGTTACGATGATTTGTGTGATACAATAGTGATGCTAATAGAGTAAAAAGCAAATATGAGATTCCAAGATATCGCGAACTGAAAAGAGAACACCTTAAGAAGTAACATTGACGATCGATATCATCCCAAGAGAGAAAAGAAATGAATAACAGATGATATGATCAAGCTGATGATTAAACAACTGCAAGGAATGTCTAAAATAAATAAATAAATAAATAAATAGAAAAAATTCAGGCAGTAGAGATATAATGGATAGAAATGATCCTAACGGAAAAATACTTCAAAGATGAAGCAAATATATCAGAGATCTCTTTCACGTCAACAGTGAGACACCTACAATGCAAAAAAACCTTGTCGTATTAAAATCTGATTTAAGATCGGCATTGTCCTAGATGAAGAGAAACAAAGCAACAAGACCAGATGGGATTGTAATGGGGATAGACAATTTCGGGATCGAATTAATAAATATATTGTTGCAGATGGTATATTGGCCTGCAAACATATAGTGAATGTCGGTAGACAACAACAAACAAAACGAAGACTTGAGTAATATATATATATATATATATATATATATATATATATATATATATATTGCCAAGTTTATTTTCATTAAAGAAAATACATCAAAAAATACCTCTGCATGTTCATGTAGAGGGTGAGTATGGCGGAGAGCATTAATCTTTGAAAAGGACAGTTTTGTTGTTGCTGAAGAGCCTTATCCTGAAGAAGGCAATTTTTCAATAGGGGAAGAGCGTTGTCATGAAAAGGAGAGTTTATCGCATATCATTACTGGCAACGGCGAGCTGGAACCGTGGGCTGGCTGCTGGAACAGATACTACACTAGGATCTTAATATTTATTGACAGAATTACATCAATTCGGCACAAGCGCGAAACCATGCTTTGTGGAGCCTTGAGCTTTTTTTTTTTTTTTTTTTTTAATCCTGAATTAGTTTTACAACAATCACTGGTTATGCTTTTTCTTCTGCTTTAAGAAAAAATCTGGGAGTGTCGATACGATACGACAACATGTCAGTATCAAATAGCAAAAAATCTTATTTGATCCAAATTCATAGTGATGACTAATAGGCCAGGTGCAAATGAATGTGAATTCGATCGGACAAGCAGTTCAATTGACCAAATGACTAAACTTATAAAGAATCTGATGAATAAAACAGAATTAATGCAGAAATAAAAAAAAGTGTGACTTCGTTTATGGAACAAGAAAGACTATTCTTTATGGTAAGAATACTATTAGATCGAGCAATACAAATGCAGATATATGTCTATGCATCATAGATTATGCAAATATATTTGATAAGGTCCAATACCAAAATCTATTCGAACTGCTTGGAAAATTTTATTTATTTTGAATAATATTAAAATAATCGGTAACATTTACTGGCAACAAAGAGCCTGCGTACGGATAGAAAACGAGTTTAGTGAGTAAAACAGAAAGAGGCGTAAAAAAGGGGTACGTCTTCTCACCGGATTTATTCAGTGAGGTGATCCTAAGAGAGCCAGAAGAACTACCAGGATTTATTTATAATATTAACGTAAGGTACGCGGATTACACTGCGTTGGTGGCACACAAATAAAAGAACCTACTAGAACTGTTGTAAATGAAAGCGAGAAGAAAGGACTATTAACTAGATGTACGCAAGAAGGGTATCTCAATATGTGCGTGGCGAATTTGAGATGTCAGAATCATGATCGAACAGAATTTAACAATCTAGGTGGCTTCGTAACAGATGAAAATGTGATCCAAAAAGGAGCACTGGAATAGCGAAAGATCCCTTCTAGAAGTTAAAGTATAAAGAGATAAGTAAATTTTGTTATAAACAAAGAAAGGAGGGCTAGACTGTTTTGTCCTATATGGCAGTGAATCTTAGAGAACTGAGGTGACAGAGATTTGGTTCTACAGAAGGATGCTGAGAATACCATGGAACTAAGATATGATCGATGGGAAAAATTGAAGTAAAATAAGAACAAAATTATACCTAGAATCAGAAAAAGAGAGTTGAAATTTCTGGGGTAAAGAAGACTTGTAGAGTTTAGACATATCGAAGACAAGATAGACAGATGGCTAACAGCAATTAACCTACATAACATGTTTGTATTAACGGGTGGTAGGACGAGGAATTGGAGGGACAAACGCTACAAAGGACCGGAAGCTTTGGAGGGCCATGATCGGCCGAGTGACAAAGAGGCACGACGCAGAAAAGAAGATGTAAACTTTAACTATGAATAGACATAGATATTTAAATTAATTTTAATGGCATCCACTTATATTAATAGAAGTAGATAGGTTCGCCCATCAATTGATTCTTAAATTCACCTCGGTTTATCCCTTGTTGTTTAGGATTAAGGGGTTTCTGCGTCCTTTTTTCATCCCCACCAGCCCCTTGCGTCTTAGTGTCATTGTTGCATTACTTGGGGCGAATTAATGAATATATATATATATATATATATATATATATATATATATATATATATATATATATATATATATGCATAGTTATATCTATAGGTGGGTGCATAATTAAACATTTCAAATCAATAATACCTTAATTAAATAACCGTCCACTTATGCTGATTTAGTGGCGTACGTAGTTACTACGAAAAAGAAACAGAAATTAGAGGCAACAGATCTGCAATTGGAGAATAGAAAAACAAAGCAAACAAAATGCATAGTGTTAAACAAGCAATCGGGTCTCGTATTTGACTCTCAAATGATCAACATTTGCACGTAAAAAGTTTCAAAGTGGTCGCCATTCTGACTTTAGCGCCAACCCCGACTCGTCCGGTAAAGTTACTGTGTAAATGTAATGAGAATATCACGATGTGGTGCAAAATATCTCCGCCTTTCTTTTCTTTTTTTGATTCTGTTTTTTCTGTTGTCTTCTTTCTTTCCATTTCCCTTTCTTCTGGCTCTATTTTTTGTTTTTCTTTTTTTCTTTCTATTTTTCGTTTATATTCTTTTTTTCGACTTCACCGTCGACGTAACTGATTCTCCGCCCACCGGAGCCATTATAATTTTCATGTGGTTTAATGTTTGCCATTCTTTCTCTTTGTTTTGTGGTTTCATTTCCTCTGATTTCGATTTTTATTCTTTCTTTCTTTCTTTCTTTCTTTCTTTCTTTGATTTTCGTTTTAAGGCATCTTCTTTCATTTATTATTATTTTATTTTTCTTTCTTTTATCATCTTGTCTTTCTTTTTCTATTTTTTCTTTCATAATTTTATCATATTTTATCGTAACAACTGGAATAATAATAATAATAATCTTTGAAGATCTTCAAAATATTATCAAAGTACAGGGACCTTGAAATGGAAATCTCAAAAATGTAGTACGTGAGGACATCAACAATATCAGTTGTAATTGAAGCTCTTGGTTTTAATGGAAAAGGTTCCAATAGACTCATTGGTAACCCAAGCCTTAAAGAAATACAAAAAGTTGTACTCCCGAGTACACTTCATACATTACTTTATCTATCTAAAATATGATCCGTGTGATCTTAGATTTGTTTTTTGTTTGTTTTTTTTAAATGCTGTGGAAAATGTCATGAAGCCATTTCTGACCTTAGGTCTCTGGTTGGAGCCCGAAAAGAAATACGTATACATCAGGAATCAAAGGAAATAATAATAATAATATAATAATTAATAATATGTTTAATAATAATAATAATAATAATAAAAATAATAATAATAATAGCAAAGCCGACCTTAGGCGGGATACATAGAGTCAATGAGAACTCCACAATCCTTTCACTATTTGCTACATTTTATGCTAAGGTTACATACGGTTTTTGACTTCCGAGTTGACTTTCTCCTAGACTGTTTACCAATCAAGGCTGAAATGACAATCTAATTAACAAACAATGTTTATTATTTGTGTTGTCAATTCTCAAGAACAAAGAAAATGTATGAATTCACTTTCATATGTTTTATTGCAAATCTTATCATCGCTTTTCAAAACAATAAACATTAGTGGGGAGTGAAGGTAAATTCCGACCTATTATCAAACAGTGTCATGGGAAACTTATTGCGGACACATTTATCCATGTTTACTAATATTTTAATAAGTTATTGCAATATGACACAGTGTTGATAGAAGACACAGTAAGAAAACTACAAGAACTATTGAAAGTATGGAAGGAAAACGAGAAAAGAAAATGCATGGTTGTTAGCAAAAGGGGAACAACCAACATAGAAATTATAAATCGGAGATACGAAAATGAAACAAGGACAACAATTTAAATACATGAGGAGCGTTGAAATTCAAAGGCGCATTGGTATAGATACATTCAAGAAGCTAAGCAAATTATTAAGAAGCAAAAAAATTTGTTAGAAACAAAGAAAATAGCACTGACCTGTTACATAGTATCAGTCGGCAAGAATTAAGCATTTTTCCAGTTGTCATTTTGAAACTAATCAGTCCTCCTATATGTCAGTGAATGCTGGACAATTTCCTAACAGATAAAGAAGGGACTTGAAGCAACAGAAATGTGGTTCTACAGAAGGATGTTGAACATGTGGGCATTGAAAAAAAGGAAACATAAAGGACACTTTACTTAACACGAGAGAGAGAGGGGAGAGAGAGTTGAAAATGAGGAAAGAGGGCTTGGAAAATGTGATACTCATAGGAGAGATTGAAGGTCGGTGAGACAGAGGAAAACGACACATAACCTACTTAGCGAGCTTGAGTAAATAGATGAAGGTTTAGGAGAGATGACAAAAAGACAACATTTATTAAGAGCTGCAAAGAACAGGAAATAATGAAGAACGATGACCCCTAGTGTAATGAAGGGACGCGGTACACGGAAGTGAATTCGAAGAAGCAAGAAAATAAAGAATATGTTGTTTATTTCCAAAAATGTGCATTTCCTTTCTTTCAATGAAACAAATTTATTAATCACAACCGCTCAACATGGAGTTAAAAAAAACAAACAAACAAAAAATCTCGATGGCAACATTAGATACCGACAGTCTGATGTTGTCGAATATATGTCCAGAGATAAATCCAAAAGGTTAGTTTGGTTTAGTGCTGCTACAAACAGACAGGAAAACGGAAAAGTCTATGAAGAAAACTAGAAAACCACCCACATAAACTCCGTATTCTATCGGTGAGAAGTAAGTTCCACATTGATCTGTGGAAGCGACTCCCAAGTGAATGCTTCCCTGATCAATCTTAACCTGTTCACTGTTTAAGTCTAGGACTAACCGTTATCTTCCCCTCTTAGTTCAAAGTTTCTCCTAAAGTACTCTCTACCTTGAGTGCCCCACCTCGGTCTTGCACAGGAGGAACTTTACTGTAAAAAAAAAAAAAAAAAAAAAATTAAAAATATGATGGATATGAACAAAGATTGATTCATTTAATTATTTATTAAAATAAAATCGAGAGACAATGTCTCGCCGGAAAAAGATCAACCACTTCGATCTACAGCGATGGCTTTAAATTTGTTGGGCAAAAATAAAAAGGATTTCGAGATTTTGAGACAAAAAGAGTGTAAATCGGAATCCAGAATGTAGAAAGGAAGACAAGAAAAATGAATGAAACTCACTAACTTGGAAATTGTCAGGATACTGAAAGGAAATTAGACATACAAATGTTTAGAAACATTAGATTCAATCAAGAAGAATAATGTGAAGCTAAATGTAAAAAAAGAACAATTTAGAAGAACAAACTAGACTCAATAGTAGAAACATAAGGAATACAATAACTACATGGGCAGTATCCAGAGTAATATATTAGGTGCACTTCCAAAATTAGGCAAGAGAAAGCGTGAAACTGATATTCATGTATAAAGGCTTACAACTTGGGGGGTAAGGTATGCACCCAACTGGAAGTAGATTTATACCTTTCTCAAGGGTATTTATGCATAAGTAAATATAACGAACCCAACCAGAATTGGAACTCGGCTTTTCAAAGACAATTCCAAGCCATTATTCATTACACTGCACGCTCATCCAAACTTTCAGTACCTGGTATTCTCAAACAGTTACCCGTCTAGGTACTGACCGGGCTCGATTTTACTTAATGATTTACTAATAGAAGTTCGAGTAATTAATCCATAGCTGGGTAGATGAAAAGGTGGATTCATACCTTTTCGCAGGTGTAATTACGCATAAGTAAATATAACGAACTTGACTGGAATTGGAACTCACGTCTCCGATTAATAATTCCGACCTATTATCAATTACACCGCATGCACACCCAAGCTTACAGCACCTGGTATTCTCAAGCTGTTACCCGTCTAGGTACTGATTAGGCTCGATTTTGCTTAACTGAGGTGATCGTACATGAACCGTTGTTTCAATGTGATATGGCCATAAACCGAGAAATCGTTGAAAAAGACGGATAAGTATATATGACGCAATAGGTAAAGAGGTAGTATAGCTGTGGCAGGATTCGATCATGGAATAATTATTGAGGACAGAAAGAAAGGCACTCTATCCTTCACGTGCTTTAGTTTTTTTTCTTTTTTTCTCGGCCAACAGCGTTTCAAACTGATGTGACCGTAAGCCTCCCACTGCACGACGTATATCTGTTCATGAGTTGGAGTATATTTGAATTGTATAGGCAGCCAATGTGACTTAGGGGTCACATCTAGATATTTGGGAATACCCTTCATCTTAGACCTAAATACAAGATGAATGTATGTCTAACTGGAGCCCACATACAATGTTATGTGCTGCTCTTATTAAAACTTGTCATCATATCTCGCAGATTTGGCTGTAATGCATGTGAATGGTATAGACCATTATCTGAAAAAATGTTCTTCTCTTGAATCCTTGACGTCACAGATAACTTCGTTTTTTTTTAAATTCCATCATATATTCTGGTTAATACAAATACCATTGGTCTGTATGGTTTGAACTCCTGCACAGTACCCAGGAAATAACCCTTCCTACACAGTTATGGTTTATTTTGTATATTGTATTCCTTCTGGGCTAACTTGTTGCATTCACTTATTATTCCATGGCTGCCACAACTATAGTACTTCTTCACCTATTAGACCATACCTTGTAGAATTTCTCGATTTGCGGCCATATTCCATTGAAACACCGATTCCCATACGATCACCGAAGTTGAGCAAAATTGTGTCTAGTCAGTACATAGATGGGTAACCGTTTGGGAATACCAGTTGCTATAAGCTTGGATGTGAAGTTAGTGGAACTGGTAAGGGTTCGGAATTATTAATCGGAAAGCTGAATACCAATTGCAATTAGGTTCGTTATATTCACTTACGCGCAAATACTCTTGCGAAAGGCATGAATCCACTTCTTCTCCCCCAACCAGGCTTGTATCAATAAAACCTCGAAATAAAATAAAAATTGCGTACAAAATATTTAAATTTCGGTATTAAATAAACCATAGAGGTTGATATGCCGCTAAATAAAACCAACTAACAATTAAGTGGGAATATGCCCAACTGGTTAAGGTAAATTTTTCATACTGAACAGGATATTTACTGTAGCCCATGTTAATGCCTTAAGACAAAATATTTTAACAACTACAATTAAGATGAACAGTCCTGGGTATGACGATAAACTACATTCAGCAGCAAGGCCTCTGATCGGGAGATTGGAGTTTTTGAGAAGCGGGGAACCACCTCATAATTGCTGTTATTCGTAGGTTCACCCTGACCCGGGTGCTAACAACTGTTAAGGCCCCAGCCATCCGAAAATAGTGTAAGCAAAAACCATTATGAAAACATAAAAATAACATTTTATAGAATGACCAACAATACATTTTATATGGAGTTGAAGTCAGGCAATTACGTTTAAAATATATTTAGTTGAAGCCGTAACCATGTGTTAAAAATATTTAAATTTCGGCATTAAATAACCCCTGTAGGTTGAAATGACACTAAAATAGATCAACAAAACAACATGAAGTAACTCTTTGAGGACATTAATCCATATAATAACCGACAACTTGTTAAAGAAATCAAACTGTATTCCAAAACAAAGCTTCAATAAAACTAGAACATAAAACACGCTTATCATTCTCTCTTGTAATCAAGTCTACACAAATATGTACATGCATAAAAGCTGAGTATCGTCTACCATGTATTCAATTGTGGAAGCAGAATAATATCCTATTTTTATTACATCAAAGATTCCAAGAAAATTAAATTTCGGCATTAAATGACTCATAAGGAGCTGATATGACTTTAAACAAACATACAAATTAAGATGAGAGTCATGTCTGATGTAGCATCAAGACATTTATTATTAAATATTTGTAATTCTTAAGCTGGGTACTCTAATTAGCTTTGTGGCTTTCTCAAAGAAAACTACAATAAATACTGTTTAATTTTTAAATGTTTACCTTCCTCATGTATTTTTTCTAGACTTTCTCTATTTTTTTAAAATTTTCTTTTTTCTTTTAATTTATTTACGCATGAACCTACGTGGGCGAGTGTGTTTTCTTAACTCTCTCTCTCTCTCTCTCTCTCTCACACACACACACACTCTTTCACTTTCTCTGCTTATGCGTTTTTCTACTTTCTTTTTCTGTCTTCGCTTTTGGATGCTCTAATAGGTCAGCCATCAAACAACCTATGCGCTTAAGGGTGATGACATAAAAAAACGGATTGTTTTCGTGATCACTACAGCAACTTGCTTTAATGAGTTAGCTCAACCGCAAGCTTCTCTTCCTTGGTTAAAAACGAGGAGTGGTGTTTGAAAAGATACGGTTGACTAATATTCTGTAAAGAAACCTGGGGACGGCTGTCAGGTGAGAAAGGAAGAGAAATATTTACTATGATAGTTGTGACGTCACATGAAACTGTCATGAATTTCATTGGCTGCAAATTTTCATAAAATTTTGAGTGAACTTGTTGGTCGCCCCAAAGTCAGCTGGTTATTCTTGGTGACTGTTTGCCAAACAGCGTTAAACGAAGAACATTTAGAGATTCACACAAGATTTTGACATGAAGACTGCTATTTTCCTCGCTATTGGTTTGCTAGTTGTCGTTGTTCAGGTTTCTGCAACAACTAAATATGTTTGCAAAAAATATTTCTACATTGGGCGAAATGCTACAGACTGTTCGAAATGGTTCGTATGTGTATTTGGACATCCTTTTGCAATTAATTGTGGCTCTGGAACCGTATTCAGTATAAAATATTCGGTTTGTGTGCACCCAGGATCTGAATATGATGATTGTCCCGTAACGGGTAAGAATGATTTTCATCGGTGTCTTTTCGTTTTTACATTTGCTAACCTTCTTTCATCAATTCAAACCAGTCGTGTAAATATATAAATTTTGATTGGCACATTAATCATGCAGCTTTTGTAAATTGTTGATAAATGCAACTCTGTATCACTAAACCATTATTATTTCTTACAATCTAAAAATATTTTATGGCTTTAGATAGTTTGCAAAGAGTTGATAAGACGTAAGAAACGAATTAATAACAAAAAGTAACCATTACGAGTCATTGTTTCCGTACTATTAAAACTGCAAGCAAATTGAAAATATGGATTTAGATTCTGATAGAATGATTAAATAAGGAACAAGTAGGAAAACCTTTATAAATTAAACACATTTCGTTATTTATCTAACCAAAACAGTTTGGTTCTCACGTCTCGGACGGAAAGAACATGTAAAAAGCCAAGCATTTAACTGTTCTGTACAAAGCCATCACGCAATATTAAATTTGTATATGTATTGAATGAAGCATTGTCCACTATTTTTAATTTGTGACTAGTATTTTAATTTGTCGATTTGAGTAATTGCAATGAAATGCAAAAAAAAAAAAAAAAAATTATAAAGGAAAAAATTGAAGAAATTAAAAAAAAAGCCGTTGTCAATTGATTTTATGTCGTGTTGAAATGTTTGGTCAAAATGAATTTTTGGTGATCCATTGCGATTCATTGTTTTCTATATCTATCATTGTTGGCATGCAGTTCATTTCCACATAAAGATGTTTACAGTATATATAACAAATTGACATTTTAGGCCAAACTTGGATCTTAATTTAACAACAGGGAAGTATAAAACGCCATTAATGATTACATGACGTAATTTTCGTTAAGTTTGTCATCTCAACTTGAAAAATTCCCGTCAAATATCTATTGTTGTTCTTAATTTTCTGATATTTATTTGAAATGATTTTCTGAAATATATTTTCTTTTTAATATATAAAAAACATAACACGCCTTCTAATTCTTCATTTTGCATTGGACTTTCAAAATATTTCGATCGCCGAACATTGTAAAAACTTTGCCAGTCGGCGAGATGGGATCGTTTGTAAAACGCTGTTGTAATGTTTGGCCATTTTTTTAGTTGGTTTCATCCCAAACAACGCAGTAAAGCCGCTAAGACACAAGGAAGTTGCAGGGTGTGGAAGAATTAGGAACAGAAACATTAAAAATGAACAGGGAAGAGAAAAGCGTAATCAGGAGGATAGTAGATAGCGATTGACATTGCATACATACTTGCGAACATACCTCCGTGCATAACTATATGCACTTATGCATACATACATACATGTATACATATGTACATGTTCTCGAGCAAAGTCATTACTTGAAACATTTCAGAATCGATATCATCGGTGAACACCACTAATGTAACTTTTGAGGCCAAAAAGTGACCGACACTGTTTGGATTGTTATATGCATGATTGTCTCCAGCAACAGGAGTGCTTTGTTGGTCACCTTGTATTCTCAGGTGTGTCGTTTTTAAACCTATAGGTGATTGTCGTTATGCGGCATGTGACGTAATCCAACTCAACTCTCTGTAAATTGCTTGTTTTGTAACTCCTCATTCTCGCAGATTCACTCACATTGATGCCTCCTATTACCCACATTTCTAGACAGTATTATGTCCACTTCAGTTTTAGCATCCCTCTACAATTTTTACTGATTGCTTTGAGCTCTTTCAAAATTATTTACGTGCTAAGGAGTTCTGTCGGATGAATTTCTGGTATATCTTTACTACTGATGAACGAGAAAAAAACCCCACTAAAACACCTGAAATATAAAGTGTCTTTTCTTTCTGTCCCCAATAAACATTCCATGATCGAACAGTGTTAAATTTTGTCTTTATCCCATGCATGCTACAGCTGTACTACTGCTTCACCTATTACGACATACATACATTTCAACCATTTCTCCGATTACGGCCGTATCACATTGAAACACCGGTTCCAGTACGATCACTGAAGTTTCAGCAAAATCGAGCCTGGTCAATACCTAGATGGGTAACCGTTTCGAAATACCAGGTGCTGTAAGTTTGGCTGTGCATGTGGTATCATGGATAATAGCACGGAATTATTAATTGGTGAGTTGAGTTCCAATTCCAGTCGGGTTCGTTATATTTATTAGGCGCAATTGCACCTGCGAAAGGTATGAATCTACCTCTTCTCCCTACAGTTATGGATTAATTACTAGAACTTCTCTCAGTAAATCATTATCTCCAAGTGTGGCGGAGAGCAATGGTCACCCTTGAAATAATGATTATAGAATTTTATTTACAGATGAGAAAAATAATCTGGGTGAAGTTTGTGCCCAGAGGATCTGTGCTGTTTCACATTTATTAATATAAAATGTCGAACCAATAGTGTTTATATGAACTATGGAATACCAATTGTGAATTTCATTAAATTTAAATCATGAAGGGGGAGAGGTAAGTAATCAGGTTGTATACTAGGTTATCCACACCCCGGGTTTGTGTAGATAAAACACGTTTATTTCAGCGCTTGTTCGTTTGAAGATAGTCAGTCAGTCGGTCGAGGAAGTCGAGAGACAGTCGAATCGAAGTAGCAGTCGACGAGAGAGAGAGAGCGAGAGAGAGTCAGTGAGGGGGAAAGGGTCCGCTTGCTGCTGTGATAAGTTGAACGCTTACTGAGTGAATTAATTACGGCACAAAAAGGGTCAACCCGAAAGCCACTTCTCTCCTTTCAAAATTATTTGCAATATGTTTTTTTGTTTTTTTTTTGTTTTTTGCCCCTGGACTTTATTGCTTATACACTACTTTCTTGTAAAGGAAGCATTATTCTGTTTGTACCAATTTCTTCCTTATATACATCTAGATAAATTTTTCTTTGGACTCGAATCAACTTGTTCATATTTGATTTTGTTTCTGCTTGGCCCGATTCTCGCCCCAACGGATTTGTAGGTAGACCAGCTGAATCTTCCGGGATCTACGATTTGTAAATCGCTCTCCAGGATTAAAAATCACAACATGGCTGGAAAGTGGAATCGAATCGACATCAGGAACCGGAGACTTTGATTGAACCTGTAATACTGGATCAGGACAGGACCAACGGCCGGTATTGTAGAGTGTTGCATGAGGAACTAATTAGGATCTACATCAGTTTTGGCCCGGAATAAAGCAGGGACCCTCTGCATCTTGTTGGATTTGGTCCATTGCCATCCAGATAATAGTGAAACAATTATCAAGTAGGGATAGGTGTTACACAAGATAATCAATTCACGCTTGTGGAACTCCCCCCCGCCGCCTCGGATTCATGCATTTCAGTCAACTTCAATCTGCAAAAATTTAAATACAATGTCAATCGCTATCTACTGTCCTCTTGGTTACTCCCCCGCCATTTTCCCGCTCATTATTAATGTTTCTGTTCCTAATTCCTCCATACCCTGTAACCCCTTCTGTCTAAGTGACTTTACTGCCTTGCATGGGATGTTACTGGTTAAAAAAAATTATCATTACAATCTAAAAATATTTTTTGTATTTAAATAAACTGAAACAAGGTGATAAGCCGTAAAAATACAAATCTATCGACAATTTCTTCTGGTTTTTAGTCCTTTTGTTTATAGAATATTATTGCATTTGATAACTTTCTACTTGTATAATTTGCACTGCAATTTGGTCTACAAAAATAAAATAAAATGGAACTTACTTGATTTGAATGTTGAAAACAAACAGATAACAGGAGGTTTATAAAGGATTTTGAAACACTAACATAAGCAGTAAATGTAAACGTCACATAGTGTATGAGGTTCGTCTTGAAAATTCAAAATATAACTTTCTAGATACTAAACTGTGGTCATCATCTTGGGATATATATATATATATATATATATATATATATATATATATATATATATATATATATATATATAATATAAAACTTTTTATTTATATATATATATATATATAGTTTTCTGATTTAAATATACACAAATATGCAAAATATATAAATATATATTTTACAACATGCATTTATTTTTGAATAAGAAATGCGGAGGATATCGTTAAGAACTTTTCAATCACAGTAAATTTAATAAAAGGCTTAAAAACTATTATTCCATTAACCGTAATTTATTCCATTGGAATCGTAAATTTATCCGACCTACAAATTTTGATTTGTTTAAAAATAGAATTTTTTATATTTATGTAACGAATTATTAAAACTTTTCTTTTGGGTCTTTATTAAAATTTAATTTTTCTTTTTAGAGAGATTAAGAGGTTTAAGTAAGAAAACATGAATGTTTTATCTAAAACATTAAACACATTTCACAGGTGACATACACACACACACACGATCTAATGTTAAATATCAGAATAAGAGGTAGGAGAGGAAAAGAAAAGAATAAGGGGTGGGAGAGAAATGAGGCGGGGAAACAAAACTGAATGGTGTTACTGAAAGGGCGTTTTACAATTAAGAAAATTTGACAATTAATATCGACTACAGGTTACAAATCAAAAAACATATAAAAAAAAAATATAACGTTTATCTTATTTAATTTCCTATTTTTTATGTTAAAAACACATGCGAATACACACATACACAAGAACATATACACATGAATATTTACATATAAGCAAGTATCCACATACACACATACATATACCCATGTACACACATACACATATATCCACATATACACACATACATATACATATATAGACATATAAACACATATATACATATATATATATATATATCCACACACATATATACATTTCTCACATACATATATATACATACACATCAAACACACACATACACATCAATGTATACATTTAATACATAAATACACACAATTTGTCTTTATACACGTACGTCCATACACATCCAACTACATATATATACAGTTTGCACACATATATACATACGGACATACACATTTTGCACATAAACATATATACCTAAAACCTTATTCTCCATACACTTACATACACCCATCTTTAACAAATAAACAATGTTTCCTATATCTATCCTGTCTAATTATACATACATTCATACACCCATTCATACACACATACATATTTATATACATATACACACACATAAAACACATCTACATATACATCGATCTAAAATACATCACGTCCATAAATATACAAATTGTGGTATATACGGTCCATATACATTCATCATACACACAATATACCTATATAAATTCCGACTTGAAGGCTAACTACGACTCAAGGTGTCAAGAATATATTTGCCTTCCAAATCTGCAATTTGGTAGAATTAAAATGCCCGTGGTACATCGAAACTTTCATTATTCTTCTTCACCTTCTAGCATCATTTTATGTAAGAATTGATCTTCTTGACGCTAAAATAATGTCCATATCATTATCCGTTATTTATATATATATATTATATATATATGTTAATTTAGTTTTCGAAATAGAAGGGTAAAAAACTAACATGTCAAATTGGATGAAAGTGGCTCTTCTTTTTTTTAAATGGACCACTTATCAATGATAATACACCTAAAAAAAAATCGGTGAAAATGGGGAAAAATTTTTTTATATATATATATATATATATATATATATATAAATGTGTGTGTGTGTAAACATTTAAATAGCATTAACACTAAAAAAGATGGACAATATGTATTGGGAAAAGAAAAAAGAATATTGCTTAGATGGAAATTAGCTGAAGGCCCAGTACGAAGTCCTTCTGTTTACACAGAGAGGGCTTCAAAGACGAAATATAAATGGCCTCCAACACGTTCAAGTGGTAATTCGAATGGGACTTGCTAAGAATGGTAAATGAGTCCACATTGAAACTAGTAGCACAATTATGGCTATTTAGGTGTTCTGCGATGGAAGACCCGTATGTATTGGTCAGAATGTCTGAAGGTGTACATAAGATTTCGGATTTTCGTTGGAACGTGTTGCTTTATTCTGAAATCCAGTTTTTGAGTCGTTCACCCTGTGTAGTGTGAACCACAACTACATTTAAAGGAATAAATTAAAGAACTATTACGATGTGGAAGGAGAATGTCCTTACGCATGGACGGAAGGACAGGCTTGGCAGAGAAAACCACACGAGTGTTAGCAGCAAAGTAACAATGTCGAACTGCTACAGAAACCTCTTTAGTATATCTATCACTGATATTACCCAGCCAAGTAAGGCACAAGTACACACGATATCTTTGTACTATAGCAGATTTAACCTTATCGAATTCAGCAATTTTATTCTTAATTATTGCTTGAACAATGCCCAATGGATAGGCATTATTACAGAAAGTAGTAGTCATCATCCGACATAATTTTAGAACAGATCATAAGAGCCCTATGGGTAAGGTTTTTAATCATATTAATTTTACGTTTCATGGGACAGAAAAAATCCCAACGGGTATATAAACCAGTAAACGTCGGTTTACGATAAACAGAAGTAACAAAACCTGACGAAGATCTGTTAGCCAAAACATCAAGAAAAGGGAGAGACGAATCAATTTACTTTTCGTGTGGAAAGTTTAAAGCTGGATGCATATTATTAAGGGACACAAGAAATTGGTCCGCTTCAATCTCGTTATCGAAGGGACAAAAGGTGTCATCAACGTAACGGAAATAAACGTCAGGTTTATTAGGTTTCAATAACATACTCTCTTCCTGAAACTCAACAAAGATATATGCTAAAATGGGTCCCGATGGAGAACCCATCGAAACACCATCTGCTTACCTGTACATGACGCCGTCAAAACTAAATTCGACTGACATCGTGGCAAATTTCATCAGTTCGACGAAAACGCCCTCAGGAATAACTGACTACGATACAGGGCATCAACACATATATCAATAGTTTCAGCATGTGTAACGCAGATAAATAGACTGGAAATATCGTAGGAATATGTAAATCTATCCATCACCGAATAACGCTGAATAAAGTCAGAGAATTCGAATCTATCTTTAATACAGGCAGAGTTATATTGTTCCAAAACTCCCTGTAATATGGTAAAAAGACATTTATCCACGCCATGTTGGGAAGACCCTATCATCGATAGAGTAAATCTCAATGGTACCCCAACTTTATGGGTTTTGGGTAAGCCCTGTATATATATATATATATATATATATATATATATTACTTCGAACGTTATTATAGTCATAAAAATTTCGGTTAATTAGAAATGTATGTGTGTGTGTGTGTGTGCGTGCGTGTGTTTTAAACATTTCAAGACGAGGTTATGCCAGACGAGGTTATCGTCTTCAATAAATTTTAGTTTACGTTTACAGCAATAATGTAGAAATGCATTTTAATGATTTCCTCTGAAATCGATTTTGATTACAATATTTCTGAAAAGTTTTTATTTCATTGACGTCACATAAATGTTTCATTGGTTGATATAACCATGTCCATAAATCAAATAGGACAATACCTTTCTTTCACCATCAAACATACGAACCGTTTGCTGTCAATATACTTCATGATTCAACAATGCTATGTGTGATGTTTTTGATGACAGTCCTGGGTATGATAAAAAAAATACATCCTGTAAGCAAGGCCTCTGATCGGTATTTTGGAGGATTAGAGGAGCATGGAACCACCTCTTAATTGCCGTTGTTCCCAGGTTCATCCTGACCCGGGTGGTAGCACCCGTTAGGGTCCCGGATATGGGCAAATAGTGAAGCCCCCCCCCGTAAAAAAACAATATGAAAGCATAAAAATACATATTTATATTAAAAATACCAGAAATATCTTTTATATTAAAAAAGATCAACAATACATGAACAGCAATGCATTTTATCTGTAGTTGAAGGCATAGAATTGCATTCAAAATATATTCAGTTGAAGTCATAAAATTGTGTTTAGATTATTTAGATTTCAGTATTAAATAACCCTTAGTGGTTGATATGCCGCTAAACAAAATCAGCCAATCAATCAAACGGTAGAAAATGAAAGTAACCATTTCTGAGATGAGTTGAAAACATTGCGAAATAGCTGAAATATAACTCTTCTTCATATCCAGGAACAATCTCCTATGACTGTCGTTTCTTTAGAGACCATCGAATCTTAGAGTTATTTACTTGTCTCTTCTTTATTCTCCATGTTACACGCGTAAACTGATGCATTCACAGACGGACTAAGTTGATTCAATTGAACTGTAATAGTATTATGCTTTCACACATGAAATGACGCACTTTATAGGAAATGAATAAAACGTTTCTGAAATGTTAAATAACTAATTTAGATGAAATAGGCACCAAGTTGATGAATATCTGTTCTCCAATGTACCTCTAGATCCTTCCCATCTTTAAAAAAATGTTCATATTTGAGGCTATGCAGCTTTTGGACTTGAATTTGCAGCTCTGTAAATATAAATTACATGTTGATAATATATTGTCACATGTGTTCCTTTTTTTAAAACGAAATGTTAAATAACAATTTAGATGAATTGAATATCTGTTTCCTTTGATCCTTCCCATTTTAAAAAAATTTTTCATATATGAGGCTATGCAGAATCAATAATTAAGAATGAAGGACCACCATACTTATTAAAATTTTTTGACAAATATGAAGTGGAAGTTTTGGGTATTGTTTTGATGATCCACTTGTATCTAACCGTTGGCCTACTTTCTTACTGTTATCAAAGAGTATCCATTTCTCATCGTATGTAATGATTTGATGCAAAAATGGCTCTTTTTCCCAGTTTGTACTCCTACAGTAAGATTACTCAACATTGTATCATTGTAATCATTATCATTGGGATTATGAGTAACAATATATTAAAAGAAAAATTATCTGGAAAGAAAAAGAGTCAAGAATAAGTCAAGATTTGTTTATATACTAAGGAGGTTACTTCGTTTAGACGACCGGATCAACAATCAACCAAAAGAAAAAAAAATGCATCATTTCATATGTGATAAACTGAAAGAACTTTTGGAAAAAAAAAATGAGAATAAACCTTGTTTTCTGTTAAATGCAAAATCAATGTTTTACTTTCTAGTGTGTGTGTGTGTGTGTGTGTGTGTGTGTGTGTGTGTGCACGCGAATTAATCTCGGTTGTAATTTTAAAATTTTAAAACTATATGCAAATCTTTTTTTATTCTCCAAAGTGACGCCATCTCCTGTCGATCAATGTAAAGCCGGTTCTGTACACAGGGTATTCTCAAAACCTGACAACTGTGCCCAGTTCTACAATTGCTCACTGCCTCGAGAAAATCCAAGACCTGGTTACCTTGGTGATTATATTGATGAATGTCCTTATCCTAAACTATTTTCGGAGCGTACAAAGAAATGCGAAAATTTTACAACCGTCAACTGTGGCAGTAGAAAAGAAATCAAATATGCATGTAAGTATTTTCATTAACTGGAAGATTATTTTACCGGCGACAAAATTTTATTTCAATTAAACTTTGCTTTTAACTAGGTTCCTCCACTAATTTTCGATGCCTAAGATTTAAAATGAATTTTATAAATGAAAAACTTTCCTGAAGATTTCATTTCAGCTTTAATTGAAAGCTAAAGGATTAAATTTCCAGTAAGCAAAATACTCTGGTGTGTTTCAAACTGAAATTACATTGACTGAAATAGATTTTTATAAAATAGGTGATTAGCGCCTTTTTAGTCGTCTTTCATCGCAATGTAATTCTCTATATTAAAAAATCTTCCAAAAATAAAATATACTTTTTTGAAACTTTATTTGAGAAATATTAGCTGATTTTAAATATAATCAAACTGATTAAAAAAAACTTTAAGCTTAAAATAACACAGAAATGTATTTTTAAAACAAATCAATAGCTGTGTTTTTACCGACATCGCCATGTTTTACGTAATTGACGAGGCGATGACAGTGCATGTCATAATGATTGTTGTTCTATGGAGACTTTATCTGTAAAACATAATTACAGAAAATGATGTGAGCGCCTTTTTTATATAATTTTTAAGTACTCATGAAAGTAATCTTAAAAATGTTGGAAAATATTATCCGTATTCTAATTTTAGGAATGTTGACTTTAAATTTAATATAGTCATCGCCCTTATTTTTTGATAATGTTGTGTATGGTCAACCATACTTTCAAAATGGGCACATTACATAATATTTTATGTACATAAAAAAATAAAAATTATTTTAAAATATTGGTGCAAAATGATTTTTATTAAGCATTTCTATTTTTGATTAGTAAATATAGTTTTTACTTAATAACAATATCACCAAACCGGATTAAAGTAATGCAGAATTTTAAAAGATTTATATATTATAAATTATTATAATTAAAATTAAAATTAAATGAAAACAATTCTTGTAAAAATTCATTATTCATCGAAAAAATATTTTTCTTAAAACAATAGTGTCCTTATTTATAAAAGCAATTGAAAGCTTTCTAAATAAATAATGTCATAGTTTTATTGCATTTTTATTTTACGATTGGGAGCAGAATTTCGGGAAATGAGTAGCAGTTTTTAAAAACATGTTGATTTACATTCTCCAAAATGTGCTGCTTTTTAACTATAAAAAAATTTTCGGATAAAAGTTTAATTTCTCGAAATATCATGGAAATAAATACGTTAACATATGTAAAAACTAAATAATTTCAAAAATACTTTCATGTGTTAAGAAGTCCTCAAAGTTTCATTAAAATCCGATGATTATTTGATTTTTACAAGACTTTCAAAATCAATGTGTTTTTCACCTGAAAAAAAAGAAGCGCTAAAACACTAATGAATCGTAAAAATTACGTCGACCTTTAACGCAAAAATAGAAGACATTTAACCAAAATTTCATACGTACTAGAAAAGATTAAAGAATTGAATAACATACTCAAAAATACTTTGGTGTTTCCTCTTTTTGATGATAAAACTTTGTTTTTATTAAGTTTAGAACCTTTTTCATCTTGCTATGCTGTTTTTTTTTTCAGGCGAAAAAGTGGAGGTACCTATTTTTAACTGTTTGTTTTTTTGTGTCTATTGGTAATTACTGGGTTTACTTTTTAGCAATTTTGCGCCGTCTCAATAAATACTAAAATTTGATCGAATTCTGAAGGTTAAAATGCTCTCTAAACGCTTCTATTTTTTAAAACTAAAAATGATTGGTTGTTTTATTTTTAAAAACACAACTCATTTGCCTCAAAAAGTGATATTCAGTGTCTGGTTTACTAATTATACTCATTGAGAATGAACAGTGCAACGTCGTTAGATTTTGTATCAAAAGAAGTTGACTGTTTAAGATTATCGAAGTCCGTGAATACAAGTTTGTGTTTTAGTCTAAAAATATTAGTTGGGGTAATTTTAAAACGTAAACAAACAACAACACATATTTTAGTTTAAAAACATGAGCCTGGTAAGTTTTTTTTTTTTTGTAAAACAAAATGTTAATGAAGCGAAGTCAATTTTTAAACATCTTGTTTTAGTAAACCAAAATTAAAATTAATTTTTTCAATTTTTTTTTTTTTCATTATTCATTCAAACTTTGTCTCAAATATTTAACAATAAAATTTTTCTTGATTTAGTATTATTGGAAAATTTATAAACACATAGAATAACGGTAAAAATCTGTACATGCTGTTATTTTATCATAATGAAATAAATAAAAAGTTTTCAATTTAATAGACCTTAAATTTTGATTTGGTTTTCAAAAGTTTGGGCCTGAAACCCAAAGTTCATTGAAGTTATGTTCATATTAAACTTCTTTTAAACACCTTTATATTAAGTTTAGTTTTTTAAATTGAAAACATTTGAAAACCGTTCCTTTATCCTTTAACGCAAAAATAGACCAAAATTTCAAACAATGCCTTTTTTTAGACAAAATTGGTTTGTTTTTCGAGAATGATTTTTGTTAACCAGTTTTGTGATTATAAAAATAAAGAATTTTTTTCTTAAATTTAGATTTTTCTGATTCCTATGAAACGATTTTTTTTCAGCTGGTTGGTTGAAATATTTTTTTTTCACCCTTTTTGGCCTTCATTGGTTTTATATTTTACTCTTTTGGCCTACTCGAAATTCAAATTTGATCGAAGCTCAGATTAAAATGAAAACGTGTCAAAATTTAAAACTAAAAATCTATCCGTTGTTTTAGACAATCATCAAAAGCAACTGAATTTAGCCATTTCAAAATGGCGTCGTTACGCGATTTTTTATCAAAAGAAGGTCTCACTGAACTTGGTTTGTTTCTTAGTTTGTCAGGACGTTCCTTGGGGTCATAAACTGTACCAACCACAAAATTGACATTTCCTGGTTTGTCTTTTTTTTTAGACTAAAACAAATGTTTATTCCTTAATCAATTTCATCTTGTTCTGCCACTGTAAAAAACCATTGGCTTTTTTTGTCGCTTCCCAAAGACTGAACTGTTATTTTTTCAAAGAAAAATAGGCTACACATTTAATTTTGATTTTTCGCTAAAGTTGACAAAGAAAAAAAAACAATTTGAAATTTTTCTAAAACATTTGCAAATTTTGGTCCATTTCTTAAAAATCCATGGTGTGATAATTGATTTAAAAAAAGGACTTAAATATATTTTCCAGCGCAAAAATATCCATTTAACAATAAAATTTATGATTTAGTATGAAAATATAAGATGAGGTAAAAATTCTGTACACAAAAGTGTTTTATTTCTTGGAAAATATAAAGCGCTTTAATAGACCAAAAATGAAATTTTTTTGCTGTATTTGGTTTAAAGGTTCTTAATTAAAACGTTTTAAACTCAATTTGGAAAAACAGGCGATTGCGTCATATTGACATTTTAATTCTTAATTATTAGCCGTGAGTCATTTGATATCATGTGTGTTTCCTATTATACATTTTTACATACACTGATAAAACACTGTGGAACTATTCTTTATTTAGCTAAGACTTCAATTGAACTTTGTAATTAAATAACATTCAATATTGTACTCAACATTAATTAGCTAAACTTACCCTTTTTTATTACGGAAAATATAACTTTTTTATACTATTGCTGATATTTGTATATCATTGTTAATACAATATTTTATTAATGTTCACTGAGCTTGATTATTTTTCTCTCTGTTTGTTGTGAGCTATTCATGCAACTGTTTTTTCTCAAGAACACAGCCTTCCTTCTTTATTATATTCACGGTGACCCTAGCCAACAATACTTACAGCACCACAACAAAATAACCGCCTTCTGAATCTCTACAGGTGTATCGTCTGCTTGTCTGTGTGGTTACATTTTTTCAATGTATAAAAAAGATATCTGTTCTTTTTAGAAGGTTTTACCTGAATGCCACAATTGTAATCTAATATTCTAATATAAAATATTTGATAATTTTTTATTGTCTGAATTTTTAATTATTTTCTATCGTTCATATTTTAGTTGCTTCTCCGCGCCCATACACAAATATTCCGGTCTCTTCAAAATTTCTTTAGTCTTCTTCAAGCGAATAAGTCATTTTGTGTTGTAGTATTTGAAGACTAGTTCTGACGAGCAGTTAAGAGAATGAAATACTTGAACTATTACAATATAATACCTCTTTGTATCTATATATCTCTTTATCGTTGACATTATTCACAAAATTTATCTTTCTTTTTGCTTATTCAGGTAACTACCAAAAACGAAAGTGTCCTGTAGTTCACTGCATGCCGTGCATATTTCTTTATCCTGACTGCCGAGGGCTTTCTGACGGTTTTCATGTCTGGGAAGGAAGGAGAATGAGCCCATATTATGCGCATTGCTTCAGTGAACGTGGCACTCCAAAGACATGTCCTGCAGTAAACGGAAAAGGTCAACTATTTTCTCCTGACACACGCACATGCGTAGAGGCGTCTAAATTATATAATTAAATTTAATTGAATTTTTTTTGTTTAACGAGCATCGAGCAATCTCGCTGGTCGCTACTGAAACGAATTCTGAAGCTTCTCTCTTTAAAGCGGGATATTTTTATAAATTTCGAGCAGAAAGTTAATTTAATTCAAGGCGGATTGGGGATGAACGTCGATTAATGTGGTTTTAAGATAATCTAAGAATGCCATCTAAGATTTATTTTGATTCAATGCATACGAATAACTTACAAGAAAGAACATATCTAAAATCCTAAATGATTTTTCAAATATTCTCAAGAAATTTTAAATCAATCATAAGATATTTGTTCTGACTGATTGTTTTGGGAAAATGTTTTAAATTTTCTAATTTCTCAATCAAAGTTTATTATTTATTTATAAGATTTTAATAAAAGAACGCATTTCTATGAAGCATATTTCAAATCCCTATTCAAATATTAACGTGATGACCACAGATGAAACTGAAATGCCCGAATATACGAGGTCTATTCTCCAGTTCATAAGTTATATTGACGTACTTCAAATTGTGAGACGCTGATAAAATTGAAGGACTTCATCTTCCATATCGCCAAG